GTCCGAGGTACTTGAAGGACGACACCTTACGTAGGTCAACTCCGTTTAATTTTATAGGCGGAATATGTTCCATCTTACGACATCTAGCTCGAAACACCATGAACTCGCTCTTGTGTTAAACAAGATACAAAATGAAAAATACATTTTATCAAATTAATTGCACTTGTACTTTTTGATCATAATCGAAGTTTTTTCAATGACTCTTTTGAAAATGTCTAAACATTTTCATTAACTCTAATGGGCTAATAAGTATTAAAGGGAATAAAAACGAAAATCCTACACAATTTTGCTTGCATTGGCTTTTTACTATACTGTCAGTGTCAATTGTCAACAAGCAACCGTCATGTCAATCAAGACGCGAAGCCAGTTCAACAGTTTTGTTTTGATTACAATTTTACAATTTTGAATCTAATTACCGTACCTTAGCCAATTGAAAAAATGATCTAAATTCATAATAAAAAGTGCGTCCAGTGTCTTCGATTTAATAATTCTTATTACCATTATTAACTAGCCGCAGCTGCAAAGTTACAAACATGAGTGAAGGATATTTTAATCTGAAACAAAAATTGGAAGATCTTGGATATAATTATTCATTGCCAATTGATGCAGTTCCATTAGTAGAATGTATCGTTGCTGATTTACTGCAGACTACACGTAGTTTGCAGCACTACATGGATTTATCTAAAGATGCTCTTATACAGCGCGATTCATTAATGATGGAGGCGGAGCCATACAAATGTGACAATGCTAAATTAATTCGTGAAAATAATTTATTACATAAAGAAATATTGACGCTCAAAGAAGAAAACTTGAGACTGTCAAAAGAATTAAAGAGGAAAACTAAATGTATGACTGATGAAATAATGAAGAAAGATGTATTAATTAGCAAACTTCAACATGACATTAGAGATTTAAGTTTAAGAGGATTGTGTGCTGGCACTCAAAGTAGTCGCAATAAAAGTAGAAGAAAAGATGATGAATCCACAGGTGTCAGCAAAATTTGTATTTGCAGTAGTCAAAGTAACAATGACTTAGGTAAGGATACATTTGAGTTGTCGAAAACTATTCAGATTTTAAAAGATAAAAATGATACTTTGGTAGATGAAGTAACATTGCTTAAAAGTAAAATTGAACACAGGGATGATGAAATTTTAAGGCTTAATATGTTATTAGAAGGTGGTAGACCAATAACTGCTATAAATAAAGACTTTCATGTTAACAATTCCGATCAGACTGATCTAGCAATATTTCAACAATTTAAGAAAATCCAAATAGAAAATGATGGTTTGAAAAAAGAAATTCACAATGGCTTAGGGAAGCAGCATGAAGCAATGTTGCGTGCTTTAAGTCTTGCTGATAAAAACAGAAATTTAGAAGAAGAATTGCAAAAAGTTGACAGACTGGCATTGCAAGTTGAAGAGGAATGTAATAAGAAATTGGCATCATTAGCAAATGAAGTAAACTATTTGCAAACAAGATTAGAGAGTTTACGTTTGAAAAATTCTGAATTACAAAGAGAACTTTCTGAATTCTATAAGAAAGATAAATCACCTCAGTCATGTTATACACAAGAATCATTAAACTTGGCTCTTAAAGAAAGAGATATATTACAAAAAGAAATAAAAGACCTGATAGATATCAATAAAAATCTTCAAGAAAAAATTGGTTCCTTATCACAATTTAATAAAAACTACCATGACAAGATATCTATGGATAATGAACATTATAATAATGGACCAAAATGCCTTCAAAAGGAGGAATTACAAAAACTTTTAATGGAAGAAAGAGTTAAATATGAAAAGTACATGATAGATATTCAGGAGAAATTATCAGAAGCATTGAATGTTTTTAATAAACATGTACATAATGGTTTTGGAGTAAATTCTAAACAAGATATTTCTCCAGATAATACATTTGTAAGAGATCTACACAGTAGATTGTGTGAAAGTGAGCAGAAAATCCTTATGTTAAAACAAGAAAACACTGAACTTAAACAAACTGCAAGTAAACAGGAAGACAATAATAGGGAAAATCTTAAAGATGTTATAAAACAATTAAACATGGAAAATACTCAACTGACAAAAGAAAATATCTCTCTTTGCCAACAACTTAGTCAGAACAGAATGATGAGCTCGGTACAAACAAATCCAGATGAATCTAGCTTAAAAGAATTGTCTAAGCTAAAAGATAAAAACGATTCATTAATGAGAGAACTTAATTACCTTAAAAAAGATCAACAGGAATATCAATTGAGGTACAAAGAAACAGTAGATTTAGTTGAAAAACTAAAAAGAGATTTAGCTCTGAAACAAAAACAAATAGAACAATTAGAGGAAGAAAATTATTCATACAAAATGACCAACAGAACTGGTAAAGCCTCTGTAGACCAGTTAAGAGATGAATGTAACTTCCTTAGAGAGCAAATAAAGACAATGCAAACAGATGTAATTAAAGAGAAAACTATAGCTAGTCAAATTAAAAATATACAAATTGAAACAGAAAGAAATAGTTCTGAAGTTCAAAATGAATTATTAAATGTCCAGAAAAAACTTAGTTTATCAAGAGATCAGATCAGTTCATTAGAAAAAAAATGTAAAGAGTTACAATCTGAAATGAATGCATTAAAAATTGACAAAACAAACTTAATAGAAAATATCAAATCCATTGATAGAGAAAGAGATAAATTAGTTATAGAATTAGACACCAAAACTGAAAGAATAAGTAACTTGGATGACAAAGTTAAAAGTCAAGCATATGAAATAAGTAAATTAGATAAAGAAAATGATGATTTAAAAAGAAAATTAAACATACAAAAATCGACTGAACACAAAGTAGCTGATTACGAATCACAGATTATGTTTTTAAATGGCGAGATATCGAGGTTTACTCAGCAAAATGACACAGCTGTAATGGAAAATAAACGCTTACAAAATAGTTTAGGTGATGCAAATGGTGCACTAAAATTAACAAAATTGGAATTAGAAAAATCTAGGAAGGAAGTTGATAGTTTGAAGCAACAGTTACAGCATTATGTTGCAGAAATCAGGAGAATTGAAGAACTTTTGTCACAGAAAGAAGCAGAAAGATCGGATATGCTTGAACAATTTGCTAGTTTATCTGTAGAAGCAAATATTTTAGAAAATACAAACCACTCGTTAGAAAGTGAATCAGCATCCAAGTCAATACAATTACAAGGTTATGTGAATAGGATTCAAAACTTGGAATCTAAACTAATAGATAAAGAAAACTTAATTGATAGTCAATCAGCACAAATAGCAGCTATGACTTGTAAAGTAAATACTTTAGAGAATGAAATAAAGCTTATATCAGATGAAAAGAAGATTCTAGAACAAAACATATCATACATGAAACAAATGTGTAGTCACATGCAAATGGAACAATCTCAAAAGAACTTGGACCTCAAAGATACTGATTCGGAATTAAAACTATATGAGAATAAAATAAAATGTTTATCAAATACAAAAGCAAAGTTACAAGTTGAAAATGATGAAATGAAGAGTAAATTGAGTACAACAGAAAAGTTGCTTTCGAATGCTAGAAGAGAAATTATTGAATTAAAGTTAGCTCTACAAGATGCAACTTCTGAAACAAAATCATTGAAAGACTGTGTTAGCAGATTGAGTAGGGAACCTGATATTCACGAGGTAAATTATTTTTAATTATCATACTTTAATTTACGAAAATCAGAATCATTATGAAATTATTTGGGCTCTTTTAATAAACATTGCATGTAACTTGATTGTAGTAATAATTTCCAAATGCGAAATTGCCCAACTAAACTAAAACAATAGTAATAAATGTTTGCTTCACACTTGATTTTGGCGAGCATATGTTAATTGTAGTTCTAATAAGATCACTCTAATAATGTGTTTAATATATTTCAGTATACATGCTAACTGGTATCATTGGTATTGATTTATTGTGCTAATTTATTACATGCAAAAGTAAAACTAAACTAATGTTGAATAATCATAAAATGCTAAATTCAGTTACTGATTTTTTTGATTAACTTGACTTGCTGTGCTGAATTTACTTGATTTTTTTATTCATTTTCAGCATACTTTAATAAATGAGGACATTGCTTTGCCTCATACTTTTGGTGATATAATCCATGAAGTGAGCAATGAAGATGATGAGGACAGTATAATTCATGGTGACCACATGCTGCATAAAACTTATTCTAAATACTCACATGGGAGTACTATTTGATGATTTTTCATATATGTTTATAGGCTGGGTACATTAAATGAAAGAGACAAAAAATAAAAGAGTGGAATTATTCACTCTATGGAACAAAATACTAACACAATAGAGAACTACTAAATTAATTTGCAAGCAACATGTGTTAGACCCTTCCATAATGACATCTAGCCTCAGGTTACTGTAATGAGGCATGGTTCTAATGAAATGGTCGCCAAGATTGCAAATTCTGGATTTAAACAAGGAATTTATGTATTGGTATTAAGAATTAATGTGTAATTTTCTGTAAATATGTCAATATTTGTTATATAAAATGCAAAAATATTATAAATTTTAGTTATCCATAATTTACTGTACAGAATCATAAAATAAAATTCTTTTAATATGAAATCTTCATTTATTATCATTGAATAAATAATGCAAAAAGTTTTACATACCATCAAAGTTTAACCACAATTTATTGCAATACAGCTACCACAAATAAACGGTAGCTTTTACAATATTTACATTTCTATCAAAAACTATCAACCACATTTAAGTAATTAAACCATATTTTTGTACAAAATGAAATCTATTCTAATTATTATTTAAATTGATACTAAAAGGACTTAGCAAACAGCTAAAATATAAGTCATGTCACTTTTCTTAATCTTAAATTATCACAAATAATACATTTTGCTAATTGTAATAACATCTCTAATAATGTTTATCCAATTGAGATAAACCGAGATAGCAACTCAATACTATACACACCTAATGATTTTAAATTCACTTCAGGCTTGGGCTCAAAATGTATAACATTGTAATAATAGAATGAGACAATGCCAAACAAAAATAGTTACAATTTTTGACCAATTGCCCAAAAGACGGTTAGCAATTTTTCCGTAGTTTTAATGTAATCAGTTCACTATACATCTCCTCTGAAGGGCTTAGAGCCAACCCTTTGGGATTAATAAGCCTTTTTTCAGTTAAATTTGCACTTTCTTTTATTTGTTCCAATTTGCTTCAGTATTAATTAAACTTTATTCAAAACATTTGTAAATTATCCTTGGGGTAAGAGGAGCCAATTTAATCAATACCATTTACATTGAATTAATCATTGGTGTTAGTTATCATTATGGAATGTTCCCCTATATTCATTTTGTATGAAAAGTATTTTTTACTTGACCAATTAAAAGCTATCAGAAATCAGTCAAGCACAAAATTATTATTTACATACAATTTTTATACACGGACAAAATTGAATTAATTTTGTTTTTTCATCACAGCATATTATAAACATATTTCTATAGCAAACCAATATTTTGTAATGTGGATTTAATATTTACATAATTTAGCATGAAATCTATAGGTATTAAGAACATCAACTACACAAGTAGTACATTTTCACTATAACATGTCAAGCTATACATATATTTCATTACATTTCCATTAATCAGCACCATCTAAATTATTCAATAAAAATACATTAAGATAAGGCATAATTGACTTTACACATATGTTATTAATATTGTTAAACTACAGTGATTATTTTATTTATAATGTTGCTAATATTCTTGTGAATCCTATACCAGCTCCTAAAACTGTTTGTCCAATACCCCATATCATAGCGTGTATCGGAGGCATGTCCAGTTTAGCTGCACGATATATAAACGCTATAGCAGCACTGCTCGCTACTCCCGATGTCACCGGAGTCACTACTCCCATAACTATCAATAACACCGGAAAGAATTTTCCGTATTTATGCTTCCGTAAAGTACCAAAAGCTACTAATCCTGCACAAGTATGTACAAACACTGACGAGCACAATGACCACAAAAACACTGGGTACCACATTTCACCAAAAGTATCAAGGGGATCACCTGAAGTCAACTTTAATATATCCACGAATGAATCGAATTCGGACACTTTAAATTCCGACAACATGTCATACATGTTGTCTTAAAGAAGTTAATGGTAACATGCATCGGGGTGAATTTTTCTTGCACCACTATTAAAATAACAATAAAAATAGATGGCTAAAATTGTATAACTTAATTTTATACCCTTTGTCAGGGCGAGGTTAAATTATAACCTTAACTTAGAAAATTAAATGACAAAGGAGATAATTTCCTTCAATTATGAAAACTTAGTATTATATTCGATGGATATATTTATAAAACAACTAAAAAATCACGAACATTTTATTTGACAATTGTTAATCTGACATTTGCAATTATTTCTTTTATATAGGCACAGATTATTAAACTATTTTCGTTCTATAAATTATTGGACGAAACTAAGGCCCCACTTTTGAGTGAATCCTCGTTAAATAGATTTTTGTTTAATTACATTCGTATTAAATCATTTGTATTTTAGACATGAAAATTACGCAATTAAGATAGCAAGAGACAAGCCAAACTTGTCTTATAAGTTAGCGATTTAAAAACAGGCTTAGAATGATAATTAAGCTAATCCTTATAAAGTTAGTTTAAATAAATGTGTTATTTTTAGTTCGCAAAAAAATACTTTTATTTAATCTTTGTTCTTCACATACTTCAGTCAATGTGGTGAAGTTGGTAACAATAACAAAAATTAAAGAAGTACTATAAGAAGTCTTTGTTTTTTAAGTGTTGTTGGTATTTAAGCTTAAATTGACTATTACATTGACGATTCCTATCGATTCTAAAAGGTAAATAGTTATTTTATGTATTATCCCATAAAAAGATAAATTGAATGTGCTGTGTTCATGCATTAGTCTGAAGTTGGCGTTTAATGGTTTCGCTGTTCTGTCAAAGTTCACGTTCAATTTACGAAACAAATAACCTAACCTCGATACTTTTACGTGTCCGCGTGTTTATTTTATAGTTATTTAAATTCTGATAATATTTGTATAGTGTGGATAATAATTAGAAAGTTCGCAAAATGGGTAAAGTTCGCTCAGCACCGGGAGCGCCCCGGAAACAGGGGTTCAATAAATCTGGACATTCTATGAATCCAGACCGTCCTACAGAAGGTTTAAAAGGAGTTGGTAAACCAAGAACAAAAGCAACGATTAAAAGGCTGCAGATGTATCGTAATTTTAAGGCTAAAAGAGACAAGACTGGGAAAATCCTAACCCCCGCACCATTTCAAGGTTGGTTACCGTCTGGTACACAGGCTAGGGTAGAACCAAACCAGAAGTGGTTTGGCAATTCCAGAGTTATTTCTCAGAATGCTCTTCAAAAATTTCAAGATGAATTTGGAGCTGCTGTCAAAAATCCATATAAGGTTGTCATGAAGCCCACAAACTTGCCTATCACATTGCTGAATGAGAAAGCTAAACATGCCCGGGTCCATCTTTTAGATACTGAAGGTTTTGACAAAACATTTGGCCCTAAAAAACAAAGAAAGCGTGTGAATCTTAAATTTAGTGATATAGAAAATTTTTCTAAAGCAGCTGAAGTAAGTAGTGAAAAATATGACGAAAGTAAAGATATTGATCTAGTCCGTGAAGACACTGGTGTTAGAGAGGGACAGAGGGATTGGGTGTTTGGTGCCGGAATGAGTAAAAGAATCTGGAATGAATTGTACAAAGTAGTGGATTCATCTGACATTCTTCTACAAGTCCTTGATGCTCGTGATCCTATGGGTACAAGAAGTCCTTATGTTGAGAAGTTTTTAAAAGAAGAAAAGCCACACAAACACCTGATTTTTATATTAAATAAAGTAGATTTAGTTCCCAATTGGGTAACACAGAGATGGGTTGCTATACTAAGTGCGGAATACCCAACAATAGCTTTCCATGCTTCAATGACCCATCCATTTGGTAAAGGATCACTTATAAATTTGTTACGTCAGTTTGCCAAACTGCATATTGATAAGAAACAAATCAGTGTTGGTTTAATTGGGTACCCCAATGTTGGAAAATCATCAGTTATTAATACTTTAAGAGCTAAAAAAGTTTGTAAAGTTGCTCCAATTGCAGGAGAAACAAAGGTTTGGCAATATATTACTCTGATGCGAAGAATATTCTTGATTGATTGTCCGGGTATTGTTTATCCTTCAGCCGAAACAGACACAGAAAAAGTTTTAAAAGGTGTTGTAAGAGTGGAATTGGTACAGAATCCAGAAGATTATATTGAAGAGGTGATAAAGAGAGTACGAAGAGATTATTTAATTAAAACATATAAAGTAGATGGATGGGAAACTTCAACCGAATTCTTGGAAAAGCTTGCGGCAAGAACAGGAAAATTACTCAAAAAAGGTGAACCTGACATTTCACAGGTAGCTAAGATGGTACTCAATGATTGGCAAAGAGGTAAGTTACCTTTTTATGTAGCACCTGAGGGCTTTGAAGTGCCACTGTCTAAACAGGTTGAAAAGGAAACTGATGTTCAAGATGAAGAGAAACAGACTCAAGTCCAGGAAAGTGAGGACAAGGGTGAAAATGACACCAAAGAGGCTGCAGAAATATCTGAACAACCTAAATTGATAATCAACAAGTTGGTAATAGCACAAGACTTTGCTAAAATAAGAGTAGGCTTACCATTCGATAATGAACAAGATGTTAAACCATTACAAGAAATAGAAATTCCTGAGGAGTTGAAAGGTATTGATGATGGAGAAAATGATGATAAATCATTAAATGAATCCCAAACTGTAGATGAGAATGATAAAAATGAAGAAGAAAATGATTCTGACTCAGATATTAGTAACTTTTATAGTAATGATGAAAAGGATTGCAGTGATGTGGAAGATTATTTGACAAACAATCCTGAAACTGTAAAAGAATTGAAAAGAAAAAGGTTGGAAGTGGCCAGTGGCACTTTCACTGTAGAAGAAGTTCCGCACAAGATAGCAAAGGTTAAAGCCTCTGGTGTTGGAAATAAATTGACGGCTAAACAAAGGAGAGCTTTGGAGAGAGCCCAGCGCAGGACTAAAACCGGAAGCAACTTCTATGAAGTGTCTAATGTTAAAAACAGGAATCGTAATAAGAAAAAGATTGTATAATTTCATGGTTTGTAATAAAACAATTTTTACATAGTTTTTGTTTCAATCACATTGTCCCATAAGAAGACAGCTTCCTTATGAATTGTTAAGGTATAACATTTTCATTATATTATATACTTACACTTGACATAAATAATTTTATTGTTCCTTCTTTATAGATGTCATCTGGCAGTGAAAGTGATGAGGATTATGTCCCAAAAGAACCTGATCAACTTTCGGAAGAAGAATCGGCGGATGACGAAACTGAGGCACAATATGAAAATGAAGTAGAACAAAAGACAAAGAAAAGAAAAGCAGTACAAAGAAACACTAAAAAGAAGAAGAAGATTGCCAATGACGATAAAGAGGAGTCTAAAGAAAAAGAAATAATACAAGAAGAGACAAAACCAGAGGAAGAAAAAAAACGAGAAGATGATCTTTGGGCTATGTTTTTAGAAGGAACTGATACAAAACCTAAATCTACTAACAATAAAACTGAAACTCAACCAACAAAAGTGATAACAAAATGTGATGATACTTTACCAAGTAAAAATACAAAAACCTCTACAGAAAGTGACAAAGAAAAAGAAAGGAGAATTTTCGAATTTGCAGGAGAAACAATTGTCGTTGAAAATAATGTCATTAAAGAAAAAATCAAAACAACTGAGAGTTCTCCATCAGGTAAATATTTTACACTGAGTTTTGCAAACACTGAATACATTTTCTATTTTTTAGTTTTAATTTTATTCATTTAAAAATATGTTAACTTAGCAAGTTAAGCTAGCTTTCTTTTTTAGATAATCCACAACAACAAGGTGCTTTTGATCCTACTATCCTAAGATACTTCAAATGTTAAAATTATTTAATGAAATTTGTATGAATAATTTATCTTTTGGCGTTGCAGTGAGTAAAACTATTCCTTCCCGAAGTCGCGGAGGAGGTGGTCTATCAAATGTTCTGGGACAATTAAATAAGAAAAATAAACTTTCAACACTTGAAAAGTCTAAGCTCGATTGGGACACATTTAAAAAGGAAGAGGACATTGAAGCAGAAATACAAAGTCATAATAAGGGAAAACAAGGGTTAATATATTTTTTTTACAAAAAAAATATTATTAGATTTTTGTTAATTTACTAATATTTCTTTTAACCATTCCAACTAAGCTCTAGGTTTGTGCTAAGGTGTAGTTCACGACAATAGTCGAATGGCGGAATTCGAACCCTTGACCGCAAAATCAGTAGTCCGTACCTTTTTTAAGAATAAATCAAATATATATATTTTTTTCTAAATGGTTGACTGTCTTATGAATTAATGTAGCTTATAATTTGGTTTGGATTATTCTAATTTGAATGTACTCATTTACACATACCCAGTCGTTATTGTTTTTGTGTAATATTACACATACTGAGCTGTTAATATTTTTGTGTCATGTAACACATACTGTGTTATCGATCCAACTCGCAATCCGTAACCTTATAACGCTATAGCACGTACTGCAATAATGTTTTGGCTTATATACTGTGTTGTTGTTTTTGTGTAATATTACACATACCAAGTTAATAATATATTTGTGTAATGTTGCAGATATTTGGAGAGACAAGATTTTCTCGCCCGCGCAGACGAACGTCAGTACGAGATCGAGAGAGATCTAAGATTAAGCAAACGGAGTAACCGATAATTTGACCAATTGATTTTCCGTAAAAATATTTGTCTGGAAATAAAATTGTACTAGCTTTTTATGTTTTTTATTTTATTTATTCGTTTGGTATGCAAACTAAACATGTGAGCTTTTTAAAACACTTCGTCGATATGTGACGATATAAATCCTTGGTGATTAACATTTTCAAAAGATCGAATCGCAGTTGTTAATTATCGCATTGCATTAGTAAGGCCGATTGATGTGTTGTTTTATTACTAATAGCAAGTTAGTTAAAACTTACATTGATTTGAACCATTACAGGATTTAGTTCACGACAATAGTCGACCGATTAGTTTCGAACTCATAACAATGAAAAGTGAGGTCTTAGAGTATAGACCTCACTTTTCATTTAGCCTTACAAATAAACGCGGTATAAAAACTTGGAATAAAATAAGTATAAAGTAGTTTATTCCTAAGTTTAACTTTATACCGAGTTTATTTGTAAGGCTGTAAATTATTAAGCTATGGATGTTTCAAATTCGCAAATAGATGTTTATGTTGTGACAGCATTCGATGGGTAGCGTGCTCGTTTACCGCTTTCTAACATAAAACAAATCTTTACCGGCCTCTGTCTAACAGGCCATTTTGTTCCTACTAATAGTCATTTACTTACCGTTAGCGCGTTTAAGTTCCTTACTTATCACACAAGATAATTTATCACTAGTTTCTTAGTCGTTAAAACCATGAGAAGCGACCAGTAGACATTAGGACAACTTTCTTAATTGTTTATTACTCGTACCTTTAAGCAAAATTGTGATTGCTTTCTTCAGTTTGAAGTTTATGTTAAATATATTGTACGTGCTTTGAAGATAACATCTACGACTGCCGTAACAGGTTATGTGCAGTGATATATTACAATGTAATATTTATTTTCATATGACCACTTAGTTAATCTCTACCTTATTTCACTGGTTGCGAGTAATAGTGACCCTTGGTAAGCCATTTACGTGACTGTTATCGTCATAGTGATATAAACTGCGTGAAAACCATGTTTGTACGTATTTATCTCAACGTTACTACGTAACACTGACACGCTTTTGTATCTTGTTTGGTCCAAAATTGTGTATTGCACGGTCATGTCATACCGATTTTCTTACGCGTACTGTCTACGCCACTATCGCAAGTAACATCGGCGTTAGG